TGGGACACAATAATCAACTACATTGTATATTGACAAAATAAAAATAAAACAAACAAACAAACAAAAAAAACTATAAAACAACAACAACAAAAAAACAAAACAAAAACTCTCAGAAGAACTAAGCATAGATAGATAACATCTCCTCCCTCCAGTGACAGGTCACCTCACTTGCGGCAGTCGCTTTACAGCCGAGAAGGAAGGCACCTGCCTCTTCTCAGGGAGGAATGCTGTTACTATGTAAATGAGTCCGGGGTGATCCAAAACAACTTAAACTGTTTCACTGAACCCTTAGATACCCTGGCTTATGCCCCTACTAGGACCCCTAACTGTGCCTCATCCTACTTTTTGGTCCCTGTCTCTTTTGGTGTTTCTCTAATTTCTTGCAGGAACATATACAGGCTTTCACCAACCAAACGGTCGCCGAATTGTTCCTGCATGGAGGATATCAGCCCCTCAGAATCAGCGACCTTTCCCCAGAGGAATACAGCCTCCCCACACGAAACCAATACCCCACCACCTAAATCTTTTATTTTTTCCATATCTTCACCCATCTCCAGCAGGAAGTAGCTTCAGAAGAATGAGACTTCTGCCCTTTCCCCCTTTTTCCTGACAGGAATAATAGATCTGCAACATAACCAGCGCCACTTTAGACAAGCCCAAGTACAAAATGGCTCCGCCCACTTCCTCCCCTCCCCCTTCCCGTTACGAGAAGCCTCCTGACTTAAACAGAAGCCCCTTTTGCTTCTGCAAGGATGCAGTTCTCTGCCCCAATCCACATTAGCATAATGACCCTCCTTGATGGTATCAGTCAGCCCTTGGCACACTATATAAGCTCTACCACCCCCACACCTGGTGCTGTCCACCAGTTTCAGGGCAGCCCTGGGCCCTGTGCCACTCTGAGCACAGCCCAGCAGATTTCTTTCTTTAATAAAGCTTGAACGGTACCCGGCATCTTGGCTCACTTTCTTTCAACTATAATCCATACTTTCCAATCCTTTAGAAACTTTGTGTGTTTGGGGGGAACACTGAATATTTAAATAAGAATTGAATATGGCAGAAGGTCTGATTTTCTCTGATGAAGGTGTTAGTTTGGTTCATGATATTTCAAAGGAAAAGGGAACTAGGACAGAGATCTGGAATCATTCCCATGGGTCACTTTATCGTTTGGGCCACTGACTCTTCCTTGAGCTCTCAATTTTGAATCACTTGACTTCTTTTTTAAAAAGTTTTCTTTTCTAGTAAAACTTCAGCCTTAGTTACCCTTGGATTGTACCCTTTGCCTTCCATGGGAATAGATCTTTCACTGGAGAGGGCTGCAGGAGGCCCAGAATCCTTTGAACCAGAAGAGATTGCTCTGGATTTTCACTGTTAGTTGCAAGAAAGGCTGGGGAGAGGTTTGTCTTCATAAGCCACTGGCTAAATCAGTTGGCTAGCTTGCAGACAAATGCATGCAAATGTATTAAAACACTCATTAATATCTCCTGATCTTGGCTGTTTGACTTTCAATGCATGGTGTCATATTTTTGGGGTATCAGATTTGGCATTTTAGTTTTGTTTGGCCCAGATCCTTAATAAAATCAAGTTGTCCTCCCCAAATGCAGACTCACTCCAGCATCCCAGAACCACAGGACATGGCAGGGCTGGAAAGGGCTCGAACACCTCATCTCACAGACCCCCAGAACAATGCCCAAGGCATGGAGGCTGCTTCTTGCCCACAGTCTCACTGCAGCCTTGTAGTCTTGGCAGAATTGAGCCTTACATTTGGATCTCCTGACTTTTCAGTATCTGAGATTTAATCTTTCCTGTGGATGAATGATGCACCCTAAATCAAACATTGGCCTACTGTGAATATAACCTTGCCCTCAGGGACTGGACAGCTGGGAGTAGGGAAGGGGGTAGGCAAGGGGCTTGGAGGAGGCCTGCCTGTGTCAGCGGCAAACCTCAAACCGAGCTACGGCCTGAATGCTCAGAAGCCAGCAGCCTCCAGTGGCATTACAGCCCTTTGGGTCTGAAGTGAGGATTCATCAGAATGGGTCTTAACTTTTCCCAGGGAGAGAGGCTTGGGGGTGGGGCAATGGTGTGGGAGGCAGACGTCTGCCTGATAGTAGTGATGGCTGATTTGTTTTCCTAATGGAGAAATGGAGCCAAGTCCAGGAGGCTGGGTGTCTATACTTCCTGCTATACCAGCTGCCTGAGTTCATCCAACACATCCCAGGCCTGGCATGTCCTGGAGCCCCATCCCTGGACTTAGTGCATGTCCAGAGCCACTTCCTTGCCTCAGGGAACTTCCAGCCTCATCCAAGATCCACCCACTGACAGACAGCCCTGGCCTGGAGCCACAGAGAACAGGAGATCCTCAGAGCAATAGACACTTTGCGGCCAGGGGAGGGGGATGTGTGTGTGTGTGTGGGAGGGATGGGAGGCAGGGAGAGCAGAGCAGAGCACTGAGCAAAGGCAAATGGGAGGGGGGGGTGCGTGGATGGCTTCTGTGTCCATGCGGGGTGGGACAGAGAGTGGTCCAGGGCAGCCTCAGAGGGTGGTCTTGTCTCCTGGGAAGCATCGTGCTGGGTGGCGGCTTGGACAGGTCTGAGGGGTAGGTAGGGAAGATGCAATGGATGGAGCTGCATTTGGCACAGAAGCACACGTGTGTGCAGGGAAGAGCTGTGAGCTAAGCAGGAGGTTGAGGGCAGTGAGTTTGGGATGGAGTTCTGGCCGCTGAGAGTGTGAGGGGCGGGTCAGGGAGAAAGAGGTCATGTGGGAGTCTGAGGTGTCTGAGGAGGGCCGAGAGGAATCAGGCTTTGGAAGTGGACAGGAAGAGCAGAGTCACTGGGGGTGACTGGGGACATGCTGTGTGGGGCTGGAATAGGATTGGTTGTTTGGAGATGGAGCAAGGGAGTGGAGACACTGTAGGTCAGAAGATCACATATCCTTGCACCACAGCAGCATTTATTGAAACACAGATTGAGACAACCCAGAAGGCAAGGCACCCACAGACAGGCATAACAAGAGGGAGACTGGGAAGTGGCCTGATTTCTCCATCCTGCCGGCTCTGCACTGGACAGTCCCCTCCTGCACTGGGTAGGGGAGATCTGCAGCAACCACGGAGTTTTCTTTGAAATGTATTAAGGCGCACTGCGCAGCAAGGCTTGTCCAAAGTCCCTTATCCGGGAGTCTGTAGGCAAAAGGATTCCCCACCGTAATGGGCCTCTTAACTGGGAGGTCACATGAGGAGCCTGGCTAGAACATTAACCCAGAAGAAGGAAGTCAGTCAGAGAGACAAGCAAAACAGAATACACAGGCAAGTGCCTGCTGCGGAGACCATCCTTCCCAGCCTTGGAGAGACCCCTCTCTATTTGATTCTCAGGTGGTGGGAGCCTGGCTGGATGGTTAGGATCTTGCCTTGACCCAGGGGAAGGCCAAGCTTCCATGCTGTCCAACCACTCTGGGTGACGGGGAGTACCCCAGGGAACTTGGTGAATAGTACAAATTGGCCACAGGTATTTTGGAGGCAAGTTGGATTTAAGTGAAGGGCTGGGAATGACTCTATAAACTGAAGCCCAGAGAAGAACTAGGAAACAACTCTCTAAAATCAAAAGGTGACGGAGAATGGCCCAGGGGTCTTTCCCTCTGTAGAAACATCCGGAAGATTCTGGAAGCAAGCACACATTTTCCATTCACACACCATTCAGTGCGAGGGCGACCAGGTGGGGCAGGCTCTTGGCAGGAGGCCCGACTCTATGCAAAGCGGACAGACCGGCTGCTGCCGCAGCTGAAGCTGGAGGAGCGGGGCTGGCAGGGGGCACAGGAGTCGGGTGCCATCACCGTGATGCTGCCTCCCGTGGCGGGGGGACCGGTGGCAATCTGGCGCCCTGGGGTGGTGCTGTACGTGAGGCCCCCACAAGTGACTCCCCCGCGGGAGCTGCTGACACCTGTGGGAAGAGGAGACATACAGGGGTGAGTGGCTAGCTGGCATCTCTCTCAGCCCATGTCAGGCCCCAGAGGGCATCTGTGTTGTGGGAGCTGCCTCCTCCTCAATAGCACAAGCCCCATCCCCCTCAGCCTATCCACCCATCTGGGGGACCTGGGGCAAGAAGGAAGTGAGGAACCTGGACGAGAGGGGCAAAGCTGCCTCGCCTGGTTCCACAGCCTGCAGCTCACCGTGGCCACCAGTAGAAGGCTTTAAACTCCGCCTTCTCTGACTCACTTAGCGGTCTCCAATGAGGAGCCAGGGAGGGTGAAAGGCCTTCTTTTAGTTGGGGGAACACTGAGGCACAATGGGTTAAGCCAGAGGGTTTAGCTTTGCCCATCAAAAAAGCCATCTTTCTAGGAGGATTTCAAGCAGATACTTACAGACATTCACAGCGGCCACACCTTCACACAGCCTAGGGGAAGAAAACTCTGTTAGTTCCAGACACTGAGCTGGATTCCCTGAGAGAAGTGGTTGCTCGGGGACAGAGAGGGTCATCCTGTGTACAGTTGACCTTCTTCTTTTTTTTTTTTTCCTTTCGGGGAAGAAAACTCTGTTAGTTCCAGACACTGAGCTGGATTCCCTGAGAGAAGTGGTTGCTCAGGGACAGAGAGGGTCATCCTGTGTACAGTTGACCTTCTTCTTCTTTTTTTTTTTCCTTTCTGTCTTTTTTACTGACCGGCAACGGGATCACAACCCTCGGTGTTGCGCCCGCACCACACTCAGCCAGTGAGCGGGAACCAGTCTCCACATGGGATCCGAACCCTCTGCGGGAGCGCCACTGCGCTCCCAAGCGGTGCACTCTCCAGTGCGCCACCGGGCCGGCCTTACAGTTGACCTTCTGAGAGGCAGAAAGAGCTCCCCCAAGTCTACATTACATGCTTATTTTCTTTAATTGTTCTCTAACCATGGATACAAGCCCTTCTGATTTTTAGCAGCAGTAGGTGAGATTATAAACTCCACGTGCTGCTTCCAGTGTGAGGGACTGTGGCCAACCCCAGATAGTGCCAGTCAAGCTCGCAGAAAGGCGCTGAGTCAAACACACCCATGTGTGAAAGGGCTTTGTGAGTGATGAAGAGCTAAATGCACACAGAGGTGCCTTGGCGTTGTGATACCCAAGCCTGAGTGGCTGGCCAAGCTGCAGCCCACGTAGGAGCTGTTGAACAGAATGGATTCTGGAGGCACATGACTTGGGTGAAGGTTGCAGCTCCTCTGCTTAGTAACTAGCCATGAGAAAATCTGAGCCTATTTCTTCATCTTTGGATGGGAAAAAGGACACATACCTCATTAGATTGTAAGGACTATAAAGTGAGCACTTGGCACAGGTCTAGCACATAATGAGCATTCAATAAATTATTATTATTATTATTGGAGCTTGGCCTGTACTAGCCTTGGTCAGAATTGTAGCTCATGCTTGGGCTCAAGGAAATTCACTTCTGGAGGATCAGGACCTCCACCTTCTAAACCCCACCAGATCCTTCTTAGCCTCACCTGTGCTCCTCGCCCTCCAGCAGGCGCCTGTAGGTGGCGATCTCGATGTCCAGGCCCAGCTTGGAGTTCATCACCTCCTGGTACTCCTTGAGCAGGCAGGCCATGTCCTGCTTGGCCTTCTGCAGGGCTCCCTCCAGCTCAGCCAGCTTGCAGCGGGCATCGCTGAGGGCTGCCTCACCCTGCTGTTCTGCCTCGGCCACAGCAGCCTCCAGCTTGGCACGCTGTGAGGAGGGAGATGTGAGGACAAGGATGAGAGAGAAGGCACAGCTTGGCTCACCCAAGCTGATGGGGCTAGGGCCGGGAGAGGACAGGACCCATGGCCAAGTAGTTATCAGGGCTGTGGATGTGAGGGAGGAGATGAGTGGACTTTTCACCATCTCTCCATGATAGTGGTTGCAGGGTAGCCAAGGAAGGGGCTGGGTCCCTCCTTTGGAAGTCAGTGATATGGCTCATCCCAGGCTGAGTGCTGTGAAATACGGTGGAACCCCTGCCCTCTCTCTGGGTCCCTGCTTCCTCGTGAGCACACTGTGAGGCCAGATTAGGTGCTGCAGCTGCCTGTATGTGGACTTTACCTGGCACTTGGCATTTTCGATTTCGGCCGTCAACCTCTGGATCATGCGGTTCAGCTCATTGATCTCCTCCTTGGTGCGGCGCAGGGTCTCTCCGTGCCGGATCACCGTGGCCTTCATCTCCTCGCACTGGGGGGAAGCACAGATGCTCATGAGGCTCAGGGTGGGACCTCACACCCACTCAGAACACCAGGGAGGAGTGTGCAGGTTGTTAGTGCTCAGCCTGTGCTACCACACTTGGCAGGCCTGCCCTGCCACCCCAACCCCAGAGAGGCAGCCCTTCTCTTACCATCCCTGGGGATCTGAATCTCCACACAAAAGAAGCTTTTTCTAGTAGAGACTTTGCATCCCTCCCACTGCTGTGTCTAGGAGGCAGGTGTCCTGTGCCGCTCACCTTGCTGCGGTACCAGGACTCAGCCTCAGCACGACTGCGGCTGGCAACATCGTCATACTGAGCCTTGATCTCGGCAACGACGCAGTCCATGTTCAGGTCCCGGCTGTTGTCCATCTTGACAATGACTGAGGTGTCTGAGATGTGGGCTTGGAGAACACGGATCTCCTGTGGGGCCATTTGGTTTTGATGCCTGATCTGAGCCATATGCTCCCCCTTTGGGGGCAGTGTCCACTCCCTGAAGGGGGCACTGGTCAGGAATGTTACATGACTCCCACCTGCACCACCTTCATTCATACATAGGTTCATTATAAAGCAACAAGGCTGGAAGGGGCCCTAGATGTCATCTGGGAATAGCCTCTGACTTAACAGATGGGAAAACTAAGGTCCAGAGTGTGAAAAAGGCCTGACCCAAAGTCACCCAGCTGGGGAACTGGGTTTGAATGCCAGGACCAGTAATTAGTCTACTACTTAGGAGCCTTTCCCATCTGGGAATCCACCCGCCCCCCCACCTCACATACACACCTTCATATCTGTCTGTGACCGACACACAGATCAGTGCACAGGCATGCACATTCCAACACACAGAGCTGCTCACAGACACAGCAGCCCCAAACACGATATACTCCATATTCCTCACACACGTGAATGTGGATGTGGCCTAGGCACATGCAAACCCATAACGGGGATTGTGGGCCCCTTGCACGTGTGGGCGTGCATGTTCTTTTCACTTACGTGGCACATTGGCAAACACACATCCACACATGTACCCTTGCCCTGCTCCCCTGGTCTCCACACCTCCCCTCCACCTGCCCTGGGTGGTTGGCAGGTGCCCCCTCACCTCTTCATACAGGCGCCTCAGGAAGCTAGACTCCTCTACCAGGGCCTCCACATTGGCCTCCAGGTCTGATTTCCGCAGGTAGGCACAGTCCACATCCTGGTAGCAGAACAAAGAGGAGGGAGCATATGTGTGGGAGGAGGCCAGAGGAAGGTGCCTTTAGTCAGTGTGGTGACCATCCCCCACGCTGCAGCTTGCACAGAAGGGTCCCCCCCACCAGCCCCGCACCCAGCCCCTCACCTTCTTTAAAACCACGAATTCGTTCTCTGCTGTGGCTCTCAGAGCCACCTCCTCTTCATACCTGGGTAGGGGAGAGAAAAGAGCAGCAGATGAGGGCTTAGGGCCTGAATACCATCCCAGGTCCTGGGCACGTTCTTCCAGGGGTTGAAAAGGGATTACTCCCCTCCAGATGTTATCTTGTCCTCTTCATGATTTATTTTGTGTATTATTCATGGGCTAGCTCTTGTCTTAGCCTGGCTTTATTCCACCCCAGTCCTTCTGCCTCTGGGATGAGATCAGGATGCCCATTCCATCCCCCAAGTCTGAAATCACCCGTGCCACCTAGATCCAAAGACAGCTAGTGCTATTGCCTTTAGGAGATCACAAAGCCCATATCATGAAGGTAAACTGTGGAGGGTAGGGAACAGAGCTGTGGAGCTCCATTTGGGTTTCCTTTCCTCACTCCCCCGAAAGCTAGTTCAAAGACTCACAGGGGTGGAGTCTTGGAGGTGGAGCCAAGGAATCTGAAGAAACTTAGGCCCCACTGGACATCCCCTCTGGATCCCTGTTAAAGGAATCCTAAAGAAGCTGCTGCAAGGGGGCTGTGGGCAGAACCTACAATGTTCCCTCTGAATTCCCCCTGGTGCGCCC